GTTATGGAGAAATTTCAATGCATCGAATGTGATAATTCGTCCCAAAGTTATTGTCCCAAAACTCTTGCTGAGCAGCACGATAACGAATAGCAAACTCAATTTCCAGATCAACCTCCAACTCCATGGGTAGGGCCATGCGAAAACTGAACTGCTCCGTTTTTCCATCTATGTTTGCACACACATAATCCGCCCAAACATCTCGGTAGCTGGCCCACTGGTCTAGCGTGAACCTTACTGTCACCTCCTTAGCATAACATAAGTTTGTCACTCGAATAACACCAATAATGATGGAATCACAGCACGATAGGCTTTCGAGACAAACGTTTTCCGAAAAGACACGCTCGAGGAACGCATCAGTTTTACATGGTTGGACAAAACTTGGAGAGAGGTATTTCATTTTCCGCCGGATACTGTACATATGTAGACCACAGTTTGTATCACTCTGCGTGAAATTCATCACGGCTTCTTCTAATTCTCCGTTGCTCGACGGAATGGTTTTCACGGTCGCAAGCTCTAAACCGGCGGTGTCTGCGAAGGAAACTTTCTTCTTCATCGTTCGCGTGGGCGTACAGTTCCCGCTCGGATGAGACATCTGATTTCCGACATGAAAACGGCCCCTGTAGTTGCGGTTTGCTCATGCTTTACCTTAACGCATTTGTAAACAGCTCAACTTGCTGTCTTATGGGAAAATTCGTGACGTCATCTTCAGGAAGCTTCAAAGTCCGTTGTTGATTGGACGTTAACCGTGCACTTATTGTTGGTTGTCATTATTAATCTAGCTTACCATAGAAAAAGTGCTGTCTGATCTGTCTGTATATTTGCTGATTATTTAGTTCCAGTGACTAATGGAGCCTCACACACTTGCCACGTGGGTGCATAAATTCAAAAATATGATGCGTGTGTGCTCTCTTAGAAATCCTACAACTGAACTGAAGTCCAGTGTGGAGGCTCGATTGAGAAATTGATAACTGAGAATTGGCTAAAATATGAAATAAACTGAGAAATTTAGGTTCCTGAAAACTGTGGAGACCTTTGATCCAACGAATAAACTTCTAGATGATTACTTGGCTACGGAAAAGAGTACTGAGAAATCGCCAAAAATCTAACAGATAACTGACTTTCAAGGATCCCCAAGCAGACGCAAAAGGTAGAGATTGCATTACAAGATTTTTCGCTTCACAGTCAAGTTAGGACAATTTTTAAGTCCTAGTTTAGTGTAGTCGGCAATTTCGTGCCTTTTGTCATGCCTTATAAATGGGCCTTTGACCTTAAAGACTCTTAAGTATCTTTTTCGCTGCAACTGATATGATAGTGCAGGATATGGTAGGGTCTCTTTCTGGGGTTAACCATGTGCAGTAAAAAGGTCAATAATTGGAGTGTTTTTGGAGTAAAAATTGACAAATTTTGATCCTTTGTAGGATTAAAATCCTTAGTCACAGCGTATAAAAAGCTACCCAACGAATAAAATTTAATGCCATTTAATTAAACTGTAGCCCATAGATGCAGTATTGATGGGCACTTGATCTAAATTACTTAGCTTTTTGCCTCCCCTAACAAATACATCAATACTCGGCTTCACTTCGCTGCTGTTTGGGCATGGTGGTCGATTGCATAACACCTGCATTTACGATTAGAAAAACACTTTTTCGGAGTGCCCTTGAAAGCGTCGAGATTCGGACTTTTTTGTGTCTTCGGATCCTACCAAAGTTTTTTTCTTATTTATCAGTTCCTTCCCGGAGTCGGTCCAAAGATGTGAGGTCTTTTAATGGGGGTAACATATCTCGCCCTTCTTACAAAACGACTGCGTGGGAGGGAAATGAGACCTCTGACCTTAAATGTGTTTTACATGAATGGAAATTGAGTTTCAACTGTTTAAACATAAAAATTAATTTCTGTTAACAGCAACGGAAAGAACTTGACTATTAGCTGTATAATAGCCAGAAATGTCAATTACTGTTAGTCGTGCAATGAAAAGCACCCCTGTCCCCTTCAGCTGGAAAGGTTTCGCCTATAGGCTTATGCCGGTAGGAGCCTATTACGTAATAGGCTCCTCAGCTGGGTGTGACTAATGTGTTTACGTCTACCACTATTCTGTTTTGGTTAAGGGAAAAAATATTTTCATTAAGTATCAGCGGCACCTTTGCTAAGTGCAATCACTAAAACTAGTCATGACTACCGGACTTGAACTTGATTTTGGGAAAAAAGCCATCAAAGGGTCTTTCTACCGTTTTGTTCCGGTTATTTGTGCTCGGAGGCGTCGAGTTAAGAGGAATATTAAAGGAGCAATTTTCTACTAGATCTTGCCCTTTTGCTCAGTCTAAAAATATTCAAGTTATTAGGGCTGGCAAGTTTGTGTTGAAAGCAAGCATCTCAGGGTCAACCGAGAGGTACAGTAATTATTGTTTTGACTCGAAAATAAATGCAGTGAAAACAAATTCTGTCAAACGGACAGAAAATGAGAAGTGACAATCATCGTTGACGTTTCGCCTGAGGAGCTAATCAGTATGTGTTGTCAAATAAATATTATTACTTCGAATAAATTAAATAAGCTTCCAATAAGAGAATGAAATGCTTTTTTTCTTTTTGGTAAGAGGGGGATGGAGAGGTGAAGTGGTTAATTGTTTTTTTCCGAGTTTTTTTTATAATCTGAATATTGAAAGTTAGTTTGCTCTCATGTTCGACCCCGGTACGTGCAAGTTACAATTTGTAAATCAAAAGTTTCAGTTCAAACGCTACATCGAAAGTTTTTTCATTATACATTAATACAATGAGTCTAATCTGAGCGCAACTAGTTTTTAATTTTCCCTACAGGTTAGAAAGTCTGCGTTCAATATTTTCGCACAGGTGCAAACTATTTGGATTTTAAATTCGGCTCGTTTAAACGTCGAGTTTTGCCAAGCTACTCAACATTTTAAGGCAAAGCACAGCCGGAGAAGAGCAATACGGTTATGAGTGATGTTTAACTGCTATTTATACTATGAAGTCGTCTTTCTGCGCACGATCTTCGCTGCGATTTTCTGGCGTTTACTGATGATTTTATTGCGATTTTCAGAATCTTTATGGACCAATTGTACCGTACGACACATACGATTTATACAGGTCAACCAAGTGACTCAGGATATTATAACAGTATAAGTTAATTTTCGGCTGTTCTGGAGACTAAGTACAGTGGAACCTTCCCCGATATAACGAACCTCGATCTAACGAAACATCGGCATAGTGAACAAACTTTGCCAGTCCCTTAGCCCTTCGTTATAACGAGGTTCTACTGTAAGTTCCTAGATAAACTTTCAAATTTTTGAAAATTAGGTTGGCGCGTCGGGGGAGATTTTTGTGGTAGCGACAAAGTGGCAGTAAAATCGTTGCTAATGTATTTTTCACCCCCACCTAAAATCGCTCAAAAGACTGTTATCACCTCCTGTGTACACAGGCGTCATGAAATTAGCGAAACATGTGAGGAAAACCGTTGCGTGCCAACGCAGTTTTTTAAGTCGCCTGTAAGTCGATGGTCAGCAAATAGCAGTGAGACGTATTGACGAACAGGTCAAAAGTGAAAGTCTTGGAAGAAACAGTTTCTGATAAATCAATATCTTTACACCACTGATACTGAATTTTGAAAGTCGGCCCAAACGAGCAAGGCCACAGAGATTGTTTTAATTGTGGGTTTTTAAATTGTTTTCAGGGTAGCCATTTTTTGCGCAGCTCGTCCCCCGTATAAAATGTCCGTCTGACGTCCGTCATTTACAAGTTCAATAGTTTTACTGAATACTTCTCTAGCTTACAACGCTCAACATCTTTAAAATTCGAATATTACGCGTGTGTGTTTATCTCAAAAGGACAATGACGTTCATTTTTTGTTAGAGCATTGTCGAGTCAACTGTAAACATTCATTGAATATTGGCTTGCACCTTCGCTCTCTTTCAATTTTGTTAAGGGCGAAAAGTCTCTGTTAATTTTCTTATTTATGATATTAGCTCTTTCTATTCGAAAAAAGCACTTTACGGAAAGGTTTCCGATTTTTTCCGCGTAGCTGATCATGAATTCCCAGCAGTCAGGGTTCACCTCATTCTTAAAGGTCACTTGCAAAACTATACTCGATGCATTTCACGTGGTAATTCTTCCAACTGTTGTTATCCCAAAACTCCTGATTCGATACGAGATAACGAATGGCGAACTGCATGAAACGATTTACTTCGAAGTCTACTGGGACCATAATACGGAAGCTGAACTTGTCAGTTTTTCCGTCCGAACAGGACGACATGTAATCTGCTCTGATGTCACGAAAAGTCTCCCACTCATCAAGCGTGAATCGCACTGCAACTTCTTTAAAATAAGATAAATTTTCAACTCGAATAAGTCCAGCAACGATGAAATTTTCACAAGCAATGTTCTCGAGGCAGACATTCTGACTGTGAACACGTTCCAAAAATCCGTCTTTTCTCGAAGGCGCAACAAAACAAGGCGCCAAACTTTTTATGATTCGCCTCTTTGGCAAAATGTTGCCATTTATATCCAAACTGTCTTGAACTTCACCACAAGCTTCGCATATACTTTCTTCACTGCTCGCTGGAGTTATGTTTTTTACGAATACGAGCTTGAGCCCAACCAGATCTGCAAAACAAACTTTTTTCTCTCGTGAATTTTGGCTTGTTCGCAAAGCGCATTTTGCTTGCATCTCTTTGCTGTTGACCATCCGACGAGATGTTCGTGTATGGACGCACAAATCGTGGTCGAAGTTCAAGCACTTTAGTTCCAGTCTTTTTTGGTCTGTTTGCACGTGCAAGTCAGATGAAAGCCTCGGTAAGCTTAACAATTACCGTAAACAAGTTTTGGAGTTATAAATATATACGGCATGTCATTATTATTCCTATACGAGCACTCATACTGATTCATTTCTTCACTGACGGTAGTTCCTCCGTTTTTTTATGCTAAAGATTGACTTAGTTTCCACGCTTATACTACTAAAACTGCGTTTTGCATGACTTTCCATTCCTACAAAAGTTAAGTCGGAATTCCTCTACTTAGAACGTATTTAGAGTCTGTCTAAGATATCACTCACGATTGCGTTATTTTTGCTTTAATAGCTCGCGTAACTTATCCACACAGCAAAAAATATTTATATTTACTCATGAGTGACGTATTCAATTTTAGCAGTTATACTTCTAAGCTGCTCGTTGTAGCTTGATGTCTAGTTGAGTTTTTTTTAGAAATTGCTAACCTTTTTGAAATCTTTCAGTTTTGTACAGTCGACATAAATCGTGTTTCGTCAGTGATGTTGTTAATAACAGGTCGTAATTAGCAATACTGAGTTTTAAATAATTAACATGCATGGGACGGTTATTTAAACGAAAGTCTCTGACTTAAACAGGAGGTAAGCTGACAATCATCGGACCATCAATATCTGATTAAAAGAGTTATCATAAGGCAGAAGAAAAATGTACTCAGCACATTGTGCCTTTTTGACAATAATCACGAAGGGTAGAGGATGGATGGCCAAACTGAAAGTGAATTAGAACGGTTTAATTTTTGTTACGGGCGAAATTCCGTTTTCACAACCGTCCCTGAAACTATTAAAAGTACTTACAAGTTTTCCCTATTGAGTTCCTCCCATAAATGAAATGGGCTACACTTAACAGGCACCAGTTGGATCAGAACGTTTCCTTAACTGCGTGGCTTTTCTCTAACGTTGACCAACCACATGAAGGAACTCATAAATTTTGTGACGAGTTGCCCGATTTTCAGAATGTCTTTCAGTCAAGGTCAATAAAACGTCATGAAGGCCGTGCGTACATCCATGGAGCAGGACAGAAAGCACTTGACGGCTGCGAGTTGGGCTAGGAAACTCCACGCTTTTTATCACATGAATTCTTTTCTTCTTTAACGAAAAGCTTCAAGGCCTCATCACATAAAGTCGTAGAGAAATGAAAAATATAAGGTAAAAATCTCTAAAAATCCGTAAGAAGCAGTACACATCCGCACTGCATGTCACCCATGGTCCATTTGTGACGTCACGCAAGAAAATTATGCACCTGTTGTCACGCGCCCAGTAATCGTGCACGCGAAAGCGTCGCAGGAAGAAAAAATGCTGCCATCATCGTTTCAAGGTTTGTTTGGAATGAAAACAAGCGCTCGGTCACGAATTGTGGGCACCAAATTGGAGCCAATTCAGTATGCGACGAACTCGATAAAGCCATGATATGCGTGCAATCAAACCTGCGAGTAAGTGGATATCCTCAGGGAAACAGGCCGCTTTTTACACATTTGAATGTATTCGCATCAATAAAGTCAACCCTCTATTAATCGGTAACCCTCCATTAAAGCAGTCACTTATGATTTTCCTGGTGGCTTTTAATATTCACTGTACTGATTGAATTTGTCCTCCATTTAGCGATCACCCCGGCCCTGATTAAGGGGACGCCACTTCCTAATGCCGGCGGATAGTTTTATCGCGTTTTAAGGCCCATTAAACGGTCGCCAAGTAGTTTGAAAGTACGCCAAACAAAGCATGCATCCCTTCTTCTAACAACTCATAAAACATAAAATAACATATAGTCAAAGAAACACGACGTGAATCAGCAAAAAAAGAAAAAAAATGGGCGCACGAAGTGAGCCTAGCGGTGGACAGTGGACTGGTCTATGTTGAGTGCAGGACAAAACTAATCTTGGTGCTAGATTATAGAATTTTGACAAGGCTGTTAAATGCCGTTGGCGATAAGGCTAGGAGGAAATCAAGAAAAGAACGACCCCTTTATAATACGATGAATAAATGGAAGATAAACATAGCAGACTGTGGACCAATGACAGCGACAGAAACTAATGTGGTCAGTGATCCGCGTACGTTGTAATCTGCGTTTATTGCATGAAAAGGTTGGGTGCGCAGCACAACTTGACGTAACAAGTGCAGGCAAGTGTAAAAACACCTTTCAATTTGCAATGCAACAATTTTTTGCGCTACAAGTGGAACGAAAATGTTGTACGTATACCATTAATCGGCTCCTGACGTACGCTTGGTTTTGAAATTTTTGACTTTGTGGCTTTTAATTACATTGAGCTTACACTGAAATTTTAGTCGTAAGTCAGCACTTTTTTAAATAACATCCATCGAAAGGCCCTTGGACACCTTATGAAGTTTACACAATGTAGTATTCCTCATCGTTTTGGATTAGCCGGTTACGCACTGCGTTTTACAGATCAGAGTTAAGCACTGCCTTTACTAATTAGGGTTAAGCACTGCCTTTACTGATTAGGGTTAAGCACTGTTTCGAAACTGGTTAGGTTCGGTTGATGCTATCTGTACTTTAATTATTTCCTTACCATTCAACAAATCCTCGGTCAGCACTTTTTAACATCCGTCGAAAGGTCCTTTATCCCCTTATGATTTTTACACAAGGCAGAACTGTTTTCTGCTTTTATATCACACTTAGATGATATTTCAAGCTGGAAATCATTTATGAAAGCGCAAGTCTCTTCAATTTAAAAGAAAAAAAATTGATATGAAGGGTAAGAGGATTGAAACCCATGACGTAAAGTAAAATGCCAATACACCACACTTACCATCCACTAACCACTAAATCACTGAGGATTTGTTGAATGATAAGGAAATAATTAAAGTACAGATAGCATCAACCGAACCTAACCAGTTTCGAAACAGTGCTTAACCCTTATCAGTAAAGGTAGTGCTTAACCCTAATTAGCAAAGGCAGTGCTTAACCCTAATCTGTAAAACGCAGTGCTTAACCGGCTAATCCAAAACGATAAGGAATACTACGTTATGCAAACTTCATAAGGTGTCCAAGGGCCTTTCGATGGATGTTAAAAAGTGCTGGATTTGTTGAATGGTAAGGAAATAATTAAAGTACAGATAGCATCAACCGGACCTAACCAGTTTCGAAACAGTGCTTAACCCTAATCAGTAAAGGCAGTGCTTAACTCTAATCTGTAAAACGCAGTGTTTAATGCTTCAGTCAATTCCAGCTGCGCTCAGCACCCCCCCGGGCTACTGCGGGGCATTTGCCCGCCTTGTCAGTCCTGGGGGTGGGGCATTTGCAAATTTTGTGCTGCCCGGGGGCCGGGCATTTGCCAACCCTGGGGCCATTCCTGAGCTTTTGACACGCACGCGGTTTCCTATCAGAAAACAACTACACAGAGGATTTTACTGGGAAAGAAAGCAGATTGGCTCATCTATCAAGGACAGGAAAAATTGAAGAGGTTTGTAAAGGCATGTTCTTGATTTTATGCATGCATTTCTTCATTGCTTATCGAGCCAGAATTACATAGCGAAATCGGAAGCTATCGACGTGAATCAACGTTTTTTGGTTATTGAATCAAATTTCTGTTGATATTATTTCAAGAACATCCTTTCATATTTATAAAGCTATTCATAACATATAACTTGACAGCGCTCTATTATTTTAATGGCAATAATTTTACATCAATACCAAAATTATAATCTGGTGCGTGTCGTTGCGGCGTGAAGTCTTAATTAGAATCATAGCTCTATTACAAAGGAAGACGTTAACTGAAACAAAAATTCACATTAAAATGCTTAAAACGGCACTATTCGACTATGCAATCCATGGAAATTGTTGCAGTGTTAACGGAGGACGGGGCATTTGCCCTCTTTTTACGTCCCCACCCCGGGGGATTTGACAGCTCAAGAGTCCCCATCCCCGGGAATTTGCCATCCAAGGCAAAAAAAATGCTAATTCCAGGGGGTCAGCCCGGGGGGGCGCTGGGCGCAGCTGGAATTGACTGATGAATAACCGGCTAATCCAAAACGATAAAGAATACTACGTTGTGTAAACTTCATAAGATGTCCAAGGGCCTTTCGATGGACCAAGTCAAGAAATGCGGCGCTTGGGGTCTGGACGCAGTATCTTGACGTCAAAGGTGACGTCAGACGACAGTCAAATTCCTCAAAGATGGCTTCCATGGTAGTGAAGTAAATAAGCGTCGTCGGGTTGCTGTTAATCAGAAATAAGACCAAAAAATGACCTAAAACTTGCAAAAACAACTAAAGAAATGGGTACTGGAGCTAGTACAGCATCAACGCGGCAATGGACTGCTGCAGATGAGGACAATTCGACCGTTGTTCTTCAAGACGTGAGACCGCGTACGGCAGCGAACGAAAACCTCCCGCCTTCGAACGATATGACGGGCTTGACAAAATTAGTGGAAGCTAAAAACAAATTTATGAAAAGTAGAGAGAAAAACACGGCTTGTTTCCAAAAACAGGTGAGTAATTTTTACTTACAACTGCGAGAACTGATGATCGTACAGGCGAATTTGCATATAAAACGGGCGTCACTGACCCGGTAACCGTGAGTGAACTTTTTCCTCTTTGATTTTATCGTTGGACTGGACTGTAAGACTCAACTTGTAATTGGGATGTTCCCTGAGTAGTAATGATCATTGTAGCCCATAAAATTCACAGTACGGCGTTACCGATTGTTGACGGAAAAGTTCTTTTAAAATACCAGATGAGATCGAAAAACTTTTGATTCACATGTTAGATGTTGTGCGCCCCAGGGTAGGGGTGCTGGGCGTACCCAGGGGGTTTGACATTTTAGGCCATTTTCATGTCAAATACCCCTTCCCTGGAGGTACATTTTGTTTGATTTAAAATGATACAAATTATACAATGAATATTTCCTTATCACTCCCACAGTCTTTCTT